AAAAACCATCTGAGGTTTAACATGAAGATAACAGCCATCTGTCTAACCTGAATCTTCCAAAGTGGGCCTGAGAATCTGCTATTTAAACACTTTCCCCAGGGGATTCTGATGCCAATGGTCTTTGGACAACAGAAACACTGATCTACAGGGTAAAATCCAGAAGTCCTTTGCATCAAATCATCCCCCTCTGCAAGGGCCCACCTCCTCCTTCAGTCTCCTCTCCTGCTACTCCACCATTAGCCTAAACATCTAACTTCTTCTGGTTCCCAGAAAATACTCTCTCAATCCTCTGCAATTGCCCTCACCCCACCCCCGCGTTGCACCCCACTGGTGTCTTATTGTGCAATGGCTTTTCTCCTCTCTTTATATGGTAATAGTGAGGCCTACTCAGACTTCATCTTTCTAGACAGAGCTCTGCATGTCCCTCCATCACCTCTCTGATGTCTTTCTCAACTCTATGCCTCACTTGGCAGAGCTGCTTCCTTCTCCTCTCCCATAGCACCCAGCACTTACCTAACTGTGTTTATTAACTATTTATAACTACTTACTTGTCCATATGCCACCAAACTGGGTCCCTTGAAAGCAGGAATCTTAGCCTGGCTTAACTGTCACAGCCCCAATGCTATGTCTGACAGAGTAAGCATTCAATAAATGCTTACTGAATAAACAAAATCAAACTGTATGAACCACTAAAAGAGAAGACCAAATTCGAGTTCTTTAGCATTACCATCAAGATGCAGTCTCTCTTTACAACCTTAACTGACCACTAAAAGAGAAGACCAAATTCGAGTTCTTTAGTTCTAATACTAATAAATTCATAATGATCACCGTTCCTATAATCAAGATGTTGTTGACAGCCAATTAACTACCATAGTAGCAAAAACCAATTCCTCATAACATTATATTCTTGTAACCAAACAAGATATTTCACAGAACACTTCCTCTGAAGCAAAATGATACAATTTGAAACTAGTTGATACACTATCAATTAAATTAAAACTATGCCTTCCCTAGGTCAGATTAGGTAAACCACAATATAAATTTCACACTTAGCTAGGTGAGAAAATTCTTCAACTACAAAGACCTATCCATTAAGTTGCCACCCTGTTGCCAGACCTATCCAAAGAAAGGGCAGGTAGAAATGAGAAATAAGCCTCACGAGGGTGAAATCCCTCAGCATAATTGTCTGAAGGTACATTTATAAGGAACAGAGAACAATGGTAGTTAAACCCATAACATCTTCACATTCAAAATACAAACGTATCCTTCTGATATCCAGGAGATGCACAGCTCCCTTTACTATACTTTCAAAAATGGTCTATAGTCTTTTTTACTTTCACTCCTTCAATAAATATATGTTGAGTGCCTACTCTGGTCATGTTGAACAAGAAAGCTATAGGCCCTGTCCTCCCAGAGCTCATAACCTGACAGAAAAGGCAGACACTAATTATTTAACTGTTTAATAAAACTGTGGTAACACAACAAAGAACACAGTGTTTAGAGAGCATATAACACAGAATCCATCCCATGCTCTCTTCTGTACTGAAAACCAGCTGTCTGTATACAGAAACCCAATGACCACTCTACATGTATACCCCTTTCAGCAGTTATTCGGAATAACTGCCAGGTTTCTAACTGTAGCTCTCAGATGTACCTCTATGGAAGATAAAGAAATTAAACTAGTTTAAAAGTAATTTTTCCACCAGCTGCTTTTATAGTATCAATTTTTCTCTACATCTCTTTGCTCTAATATACATGGTCACATCAGAGAATAAAAATCTCTTTCAAGTGTTTTGAGTCTTTACCCATTGATAGGTAAAGCTGTTTTAATTCAATAGGCACTTATAAAGCACTTACTGTCAAAGACCACACCATGGGAACGTGTGATCCTCACGAAGAAAAAGTCTCTAGGTGTGATTCACATTCCAGTAAAATTGACCAGACTTTTCCCTTGGACACCTTTGGATTCATATTTTTTTAATATGAACACGGTACTGAGTAAAGAACTCTCTATTAGAAGAAATAAATTTGTGCTCTCCACTTTTTTTAAAAAGAAGCCTCGTTATAACTAAAATAACATCAACAAACTATATTTTAGTGAACATCAGATGCTTGCTAAATTGATCTGTTTTCCAGGATGATAGGATATCTGCTGTCAGATACAGGACATGAGTCAGATAACGGAAGAGGGAAAAATAGGAACAGAAAAGCATACTAAAATTACCTGTAAACTAAGACACCTATCTAGTTGGAAATATCAATCAAAAAAGACTGCTTCTAAGAAAAAGACACTGCTGCAAATGAAACAGCTGTTCTACACTTACCCAGAAAGTTAGATCCTAGTAAGGAGAAAAAGTTTTACATGTCAATATTTACAATGCCAAACAGGTAACAGAAAGGGGATAAAGCTTAAGGCAAAACAGGAGGTCATCTGGGTTAATAACCTTCTTTAATGAAAGTTGTAAAGCCCTGGCCTGGGTTACCAAGGCTCTGGAACTTCTTTCCACTTAAAATTTTAAGACAAATCAGCAAGCAGCACCTCGGTTCAAAATGGAATAGCACAATATTACTTGAAAGCAGAGGAATAAACTATGCGACTTTCTAAGGTCCCTTACAGTTTTTCCAATTCCAGTTAGACACAACCCATTGTGACTTTTTCAGTCATTCATTCATTCCACAAAGGTTTATTGGGTGCCCAGTATGCACAGCAGCACGGTGCTCAGGTCATGGTGGTTCGCAAGGCAGGTCTAACCACTTGGGTATGACATTCTAGTGGGGGAGACACACTAAACTAATTCCATAAAGAAGCAGAGGGTGCTATGAGAACATACTAAAAGGGAAAGCAGTAATTAGGAAACCCTTCTCTGAGGAACTGATATTTAACATGTGAAGATGAATGTAAACGGGGAAGGGAGCTACATTCCCGGCAGACATAACATTACTTGGAGATCTAAAAAAAGGAAAGGCGAGATGGTTACTAAGGCTGGGAGGGGCAGTGAGTGGCAAGACATGAAGCTGGTGACACAGACAAGGACCACGTCTTTCAGAACCATGTAGATCGTTATGAATTTTTGGACTTCATTCCAAGAGCAATGGGAAGACAGTGGAGGGTTTTAAGCAAAGAAGTGATGTGACCAGTTGCTTATTTTTTTAAAAGATCACTATGAAACATAGAAAAAAGACTGGAAGAGCAAAAGCAAAAGTAGGTGAACAATAAAATAAAGTAGTATTGAATTATAACACAAAGTATAAAATAAATATCCACAAACTCATACTGATATCAATAAATGACTGAATAAATAAAGATACATTGGGAAGAACAGATGAATCTTCCATGCAGAATTCCAAATAAATTATGTCTATACTCTGCCCTCAAAGAGGTAGAACATAACTCTCCACTCCTTAAGTGCTAACTGTGCAGAGTAACTTCCTTCCAAAACAGAGTAACTTTACAGGGAGAAACCTGACAAACACTACCTTAAGCAGACGATCAAAGTCAACATCAACAGTGGTGAGTCATGCTGAGAGCATGTACTCTTCACATAATACAATGAAAACGACACTTCACCTCTGTGGCCTTCTTCCAAAAACCCATAACCCGCATCTAATCATGAGAAAAACATCAGATGAACCTCAAATTGAGGGACATTTGTACAAAATACCTGACCAGAACTCTTCAAAACTATCAAGGTCATCAAAAACAAGAAAAGCCTGAGTAACTGTCACAGCCAAGAGAAGCCCAAAGAGATATGAGAACTAAATGTAATGTGGGATCCTGGATGAGATCTGGGAACAGAAAAAGAACATTAGGTAAAAATTAATGAAATCTGAATAAAGTATGGACTTCAGTTAATGATAATGTGTAAATATTGGTTCATTAATTGTGACAAATGTACCATATTAATGTAAGATGTAAATAACAGGAAACACTGGGTGTGGAATATATGGGAACTCTGTACCATCTTCACAATTTTTTTTGTAAATCTATATTAAAATATTCTAAAACTATTCTAAAATAAAAAGAATACTTAAAATGTATGTGGGGAGGGTGGTAAAGAAACCACCCTTCTAGTTTAGGCTAAAAATGATAGAACAATCATCATCTGATGATTCACTGGCTGCTGGGTGGGGCAGAGAAATCAGGAGTGAAAGCGACACAGGTAGCAAGAATGAAAGGTTCCTACCCAGATTTCACCCTTGGACAACTGAATGGATAGAAAAGTCATTCAGTGATAAGAAAGCACTGAAAGCGAACCAGATTTGTAGGAAAAGTTAAGTATTTACTGGAAGCCCAATATGTGCCAGGTGCTTCTCAAATTTTTATAATCATTTTGCACGGTAGAGACTACTGTTTGGCCCAAAGCCAAATAAAGAAATTAGGTTTTGGTATCAGGTTTGGTTTCAAGTTTATATGTACTCCAAAGCCCGCGCTTGTTCCATTACACAGTTCCGTCCGGTGCGCATTCACACTAACTGGCAGCCCAAGAGCCACGAGCTACTGCCGAGGAAGCCTCTTTACTGGGAGTGGAAGTGGAGTGTATTAGTAGTATGGCCTCAGTACTCACTCCCTCTCCCCGGGCCTCATCTGCCAAAAGACCATCTCTGTCTCTTAAGTTGTATACGAGAGGCGGGCAGAAACTTCATTGAAATGAAGACAATTAAGAGACCACAGTCAGGAACTGTATCACCTCTCAGGAGGCTTAAAAAATAATAATAATGAAGTAAAGAAGCGAAGGGAATTCTCTCGCTCCACTCTCGCCGAGCGGTCTCCGAAGGAAAAGGCGATCCCTCAGCAGGGTGCCGAGTCCGGGCGGCGGGCCTACGGTGCTCCCACGCACCCCAACCCCAAAGCCCCAGGACTCGGCAGGACCCCAGCAGAAGCGCCTGCCAGCCCGCCGGGAGCCATGCCGCACAAGGTGACATGGACCGCGCCGGCTCCTCAGCCGCCTGGGAGAGGCCGGACCGAGGAGGGAGAGGGGCGTCCGCGGGGCCCGAGCTACCTTGTACTTATCAAAGCCAGCCAGCTGCTCCGGGCTCACGTATTCGTAACCAGCCATGACCACCCGAACACCAAGCGCCCACTCGGCAGCGACTCTCCACGGCAAGGTGCGGAAACACCAGCACCCGCTAGGAAAGGATGGGGAAAAACTGGGCTGGCAATACGAGAAGAGCCGAGCTCCGCCCAACGCGCATGCGTTTCCGCCTCGGCCACTTTGCCACCTCCCACCGCGCAAGCGCAGTCCCCACTACTCCCCGCCCACCGAGAGAGGGTCGCCAGACAGCTCATGCGGTCCGCTCCCGACTGCCTTGGCAGTCCAATCAGCGTGGAAGGGGCAGCACTAAGTCCTGCCTTCCAGGTCTCCTCATCGCTTCATTCGCTAGTTGAAATTGGTGAGTTGCGATAAGGCGAGAAGGGAAGTAAAAGGTCAGGCTCCCAGGGAGCTTTGCTTCTGCTCCTTTCCCCTGGTTAAGGCCGGCGATTATTTGCTAACCCAATCTGTGTGGAGATTTGGGGCTACCCTTTTAATTTTTATGGTAGAGTGATCGCATGCGAACCACTTTAGCACCACCCCAGGGAAGAGGGTTTAGTTCCCGCAAGCTGTAAAGGAGCAGAAGTAAAAGAGCAGAAATAGGGACTGTGCCCCGCCCTCTTCCAGCTCCTGGCATGGTGCGCTGCGCGCAATAGGAATTTAGTAAGCGTGATTTGACCTGGAGAAGCCGGTGAGCGGTTCGGTGAGATACTGTTTGCAATAGGTAAAGGAGAGTGGAAAGGTACTGGAGACAAATTCCTTTGGTCAGTGTTGTTTGTGAACCTTGTACCACCTCACCACGCTCCGCTCTAGCAAACTGTTCCAAATTCAGATTGCTAATGTCTCCCGACGAGAAAAAAGCACTGGTCTCTGAGTCTCTAGGGGTCCTTAAATGCGTTTGAAAGAAATGCGTTTACATAACTGGAGTTAACTGTAGAAAGAACACTAGATCAACAGCTAGTGGGTATGAACCTAATAATAAAAATTTAATAATAGTAATAGGTGCTACCATTTATTGAGCGCCTTCTGTGCGAGGGAAATTGATATACATTTTTACCAATCCTCATAACAACACTATGAAGTGGAAGGCATTTTCCCCACTTTGCAGATTATTAAATCAAAATTCAGATTATCTAACCTGCCCAGGATCATTACAGGTATTCCCCAATTTTCAGTTTCCTTTAGAACACTTGGCTTTTAGTAAAGATATACATTTGCACAACAGGGCCTCAGATAATATCGTTTCATTCATCATGTTTAGTTAAAACATTGATTAGATGCCATAGGAACGTACGTGTTTATATCAATTAGTTTATAGTAAAATTGATTTTGTTATATTTTTCACAGAACCTGACACAGAACCAGTGAGGACCTACTGTACCTGTTTTCACTAACTGAAAGAATCCAAAAAGGGTTGTCCCTTTTACAGAGGGGAAAAAAAAGCAAAAACAAAATCTAGCATTTGCTTTGCAGCAAGCTGTCACAGAGGCAGCATGCGCCTGGAGCAGTGAGTGGCACTGCTTTTACTATATTTCAGCATTATTTTAGGTTATAAGTGTTGTTCGATGTGATTTGGTTATTTGGGGAGTCTGGTGACAAACGAAATTTTTCCGTATAAATTAATGGCGATTGGTTCTTTGCTTTAGGCCATTTTGGCTTATGAAAGATTTCATAGGAATGCTCTACTTTTGTATAGCAGGGGAAGTCTGTAATTCCGCAGTTCAGAAATGGTCAACCACCATGAGATGAGATCTTTAGTACAGAAAGCCACTACCTAAGGAAGCCTCTCCATCTCTCTGGGTTTCCTAAAGAAAGATATTATTTTGAGATCCCTTGTGTTCCTTACATTTATTCATTTATTCAAGAAATACCACGGATGACATGATACTATATATCAGGGTCCCCAACCCCTGGGCCAAAAACTGACCAGTACCAGTCTGTGGCCTGTTAGGAACTGGGCCACAAAGCAGAAGGTGAGCGATGGGTGAGCAAGCAAAGCTTTATCTATATTTGCAGCCGCTCCCCAACCGCCTCAGCTCCACCTCAGATTATCAGGCATTAGATTCTCATAGGAGTACCAGTCACTGGTGCCAAAAAGGTTGGGAACTGCTGTTATATACAGAGAACCCTAAAAATTCCACCGAACAACTATTAGAACTGATAAGTTAATTCAGTAAAGTGGCAGGATACAAAATTAATATTCAGAAATTGGTTGCATTTTTATACACCAATAATGAACTATCAGAAAGAGAAACTAAGAAAACAATCTCATTTACAATTACCTCAAAAAAATACCTAGGAATAAATTTAATGAAGGTAAAAGACCTGTACTCAGAAAATTATAAGACTGTAATTGCCTTGCTTCCTTTGTCTGCCTCCAATAATTATCCATTGAAGTTTCTCTCTTCCACATCTCATATACTCACGATCAGGCTTTTTGCCTTCCAGCATGGCCATCATAGAAAATATTTGTGTTAGAAACTGTATTATCACCTTTATAATAAAACAGTTTTATTCCTGGAATATCTGCTCTATTTAGTCTGAAGACATGTCAGCTAAGTGGAGATATCTAGAAAATAAGTTAGTTAAGGGAAAAGTTAATAACTCCAATATAAGTCAGTCATTAAAGCCATAAAAATGGGCAAAGCTTCTCAAGGAAGCTTGTAAAAAGATATTGATTAGATTTCCATTTTAGAATAAGAATACCTTATGTTCATAAACTCTATTATTCCTAAAGTAATTTGACATCTCAGTAGTTCATTCTAACAACCCTAAATTATGGACCTAATTGTGCAGAACAGAACAATGGAAGAATTACATTATCTTGCAAAAGTTATCCAGTGTGTTTATGGTAAAACTGGAATAAAAGCATCAAAAGGTCATCAAACTTTTAGTTGAATAGTTTTTTTACTGCACCATAGAAAGATGTTAAAAAAAGAAAATTCACAAGTCAGATTTTAATCAAGGCTGGAGGAAAAAAACTAGAAAAGAACTGACCAAAGTCATTAAGTTGCTTATTGTTTCTTAGAAATGGAATTCCCTGGCTAGAGTAAACCTTTTCAAGTTGGGTTTTGTCTGCCTGGTTTTTGCTGTATTTCACATTTTTCAAACATAATCCTACTAGGTATGACTATCTGAGTAGGTCATCAATCAAATTCTTTATCACAGAAAAGGTTTGTGCAATATTTGGAGATTCAGCATAAACTAATGCTGCTTTTTACCTCCTTCCCATGTCAGTGAAGGAGGAAGGTATCTCTGCTTTTTGGTGACGTGTCATCCTACCAGTCTCCCAATGGTTTTCTGGACATTTTTGTGCTCTTAACTTTTGAACCCTAACATAGTGATGTCAGTTGTCATTCAAAACCAAGAGAAGCAATGTAAAGTTACAGAGGGTCCCACGGGGGCCCAGTATGGCATGAGGTGAGAACAAAATCACAAATCTAGTAATTTATTTAGACCCTCTACATATTTGCCAGTCTCGTTTTGAAGATGAGTGATGATTTCTCTTTTATAACTGTTTTTCATGTGCATAACTATTAAAGGAAAGGAAAATTATTTTTTTAAATTAATCCCAAGCAAAGTTTTACATTGGGAAAAGTCTTATTTTCAGCATTCTTGCAGTTCTAGTAGTGACCTAACATCTGTATTTTCCAAGCAGCGAAAGAATTAATACTTCTCCGTACACATCCTCTTCCCCATTCTCACGACGTTAGAATGGAAGCAGAACTCTAGGTTAAACCAAGTTCAGATCATTCAGATGGGCAATCATAGTGGCATCACCCTGTCATGCCTTTCCCCTTATTCCTTTTGCCTCATCTAATAGCAGGTCTGCGGATATAACCAAATGTAACTACTGTTCTTTTTATTATTATTATTTCAATTTGAACGTATTCAAGAAACCCCATTTTTGAGTAGAGATTATTTTTGTCTTTATGAAACATTGAAATCTTTGGAGTTGAGATCTGTTTTCCTGTAGAATTCTCAAAAACGTGGAGCATGGGGTTGAGACAATAGTTGCCGATGCACATATCTACCACATAAGGCTTCGAGATCTTCCTTGATATACTCAAGGTTATAACAGCCTGTTTGATCAGAATTCCAACAGAAGGAGCTCTACTTCTACAAAACAGGACATACAAATATGAAACAATGTAAAAATAGCAACTTTATTATCTTTTCATGTATCCTCGCTGAGCATTAGCTGTATACCAAATTCAGAGACCATGATAGACCTTGGAGATACAAAGTTGACTAAAACATAACATGGACCCCAGGTAAGGAATCCATAATTACTGCATTCTATGACCAGTACTATCTAATGCCCTGGCTCTTTGTAGTTTCTCTCTTTCTTCCTTCCTCCCCTCACCCTTCCTCTCCTTTTTAAAATTTCACTGTTAAAGTGTGAGATATTTTGTCTTGGACAGAAAATTGACTTAAAGACAGGAACCAAATGGTTGGAATCAAAAGAAAACTCTCTAAATATATTTTAAGATCTCACTAGGATTGATTTAATATTTTGATGAATAATTTATACTAATAATACTTAGTCTTTTATAATGAAATGTCATATCAGTGGGCATAAACTGCAAGAAGACACGCTTTAAAAAATTAATCAGATATCAAAGTGATTTATTGCCACTTAACAAATCACGCAAAATTTAGTAACCTAATACGACCATTTCACTTGCTTGTAATTCTATGGATCAGCAATTTGGGCCCGGCTTAACTGGGCAGTTCTATTGGTCCTGCTGGTATTTATGATTCCAAGAGGGCATCAGTAGAAGCTATAACGCCTTTCAAAGCCCAGGCTCAGAAGTCACACAGTGTTATTTCTGTCTCACGTTACCAGACAAAGCAAATAACAAGGCCAGCCCAGGTTCATGGGAAGGAAAAAAGTTTCCACCTCTTAATGGATGGTTGGCAATGGGGCCTGTACAGAAGGATAGGAAGAGTTATTGCAACCATCTTTACAAACGAGCAACCACTTCAGATTAGCTGCTATAGCTCAAAGAAAAGACAGTAAGTTTCATTAGGAAGAAATTTGGAAACCATTATTGATTACACTTGAATTGTTTTAATGTATTCAGAAAAAAATGGCAAAAACAAACTAAAACAGTAAAAAAAAAAAAAAATTCCTTGTACAAGG